TTTTTTTTTTTTTTTTTTACTACACCTAAAACCAAGCTCCTGTCTTCTCTTATGACTGACTAATAAGATTCTCCAGAGAAAATACATTTTCTCTGCTCTCTTGCCATTAATACATCGAAACAAGTGATGCTGTTTATCTAAATGTGTTACGTTACTTGATTGAACGTTGCTGCATTTTACACATTTGGAATATAATGTGATGAACTCGGCACAAAACACCTTCAAAGACGTAGTTATCATCACTTACACAACTCCAATCAAGAAGCTGATAAAATCTTGTCAGGTGGACGTGGATCAATAATATTGATTCAAGATATCACATAGTGCAGCTGTATCATAGCAAATGGACAGTTAGTTAGATAGCTCTAAAATATAATAGATGTTAAGAGAATAAGAACAACAGCCTGTTTGAGGTACACATTACATATTTCAAACATTTTGGAATGTTTTGAAACATTTGTCGACCTCACCGTCTTTGGATTGCTTCATATTTTTGTGTGTGAATGATCAGCAAATCTCTTTTAAAGTTCAGGAACAATAACCAATAACAGATCTATGATTATATATCACATGTTTATGTACAGTAATTTGTTCACTTATATTGACATGATTATCTGTGCTATTTTTGGCGTCCGACACTTGAATGATAATTGATCCCATTCCTAGCAGTGTGTATGTGTGTGTGACCGTGTTAATTAGGTTATTATTATCACGGCCTCCCCAGGCTCTGCTCCGCTGGACGAGCTTCACACGCTGCGCAGCCAGCTGCTCCTGCTGCACAACCAGCTGCTGTACGAGCGCTACAAGAGGGAGCAGCACGCCGTCCGCAACCGACGCCTCCTCCGACGCATCATCAACGCCACTGCACTGGAGGAGCAGAACAATGCTATGGTGAGTTTGCATCAACTCATTATCACAGATTTGCCCCTTTAAGCACCTTTAAATGTAAGTACTTAGAATTAGACAAGAGGTGTGTTGTAGTTTTTGTTTATTTAGATGCAGCACCACAGAACAATTACACGACAATGTTTACAGGTTTTGTTCTTCAGCTACTTCTTTGCATTTAGATCAGCGAGAGGAGAAAGCCTCTAAATTCTTCAGAGGTTTCTACTGATCACTGAGGCATTTGTCCCATTTCATGACTCCAGCTGTCAAACCTCTGCTGCTGTCAGGTCTCATCTGCAACATGTCGCCGAGGAATTGAACTGAAGCTGTTTTGTTAGCGCCAATTCTGACAGATTGTGTTTTCAACAAGTGATGGTAACAAAGAAGCCACGACGGCTGTTTTGTCTCCAGGAATGAAACATAAACAAGAGGGAGGAACGCTGGCACATTCATGCAGCAATCAACTGAAAGACTCATTAATTTTCTGCAGAAATGTTGCACGCTAATTTAGTATTGTGGAGAAAAATGCTTGTTTTTACTCTTTGTGTGTTTTTGTACTGAACTGTGTGTGTGTGTGTGTGTTTGTGTGTCCAGAAGGACCAGCTGAACCTGCAGAGTGTGGACATCTTGTCTCTGAGGGAGAGTCTGCAGGTGGAACAGCAACGGTACAGGCAGCTGTGGGATGACAGGGAGACAGTGGTGACCAGGCTCCACTGTCAAATCAGGCAGCTGCAGCAGGGCCGAGATGACTACTACACCAAGAATCAGGAGCTCCAGGTACGCACAACATGATTTCACTGATGTGGACGTCACAAATGATAGCAAACATATTCAGTACAAATACGTCTTAAACCTGAAACTGTCTCTTGTCTCCAGAGCAAGTTGCAGGAGTGTCAGAAGAGGATGGATGAACTGGAGGCGGAGCTTCAGAGGGCCAACAACAAAGTGTGCCACACCGGTCACCTCCTCAACCAGACGACCATCAAGGTAAAGACGCAGCTGAGCCAGAGGCAGATTTAACTGAATTGTAGATAATATTGTTTCATAAGTCAGTTAAAATCATATATTATTCTTTGTGCTTTACCCGAAAACATAAAGGCAATCGAAAGTGGTTTACTGAAGACGGAAGATGAACATTAAAAAATGAAATGATGGATTTAAACATTTAAAATAGGATTAGAAATGACTAAGATAAGATGCCCAACATAAAATTAAGGAGAAAAAAGCGCAGTTATAAATCGAAGGCAAAAAAAAAAAGATCTTAATTTAAAATTTGAACTTCAAGACAGTTTTCTTTTCCCTCACCTCTGTTTTGGAAATGGAAGAACTGGGAAGGACAGAACGAGCAGTGGCGAGACAGTTGGGTCAGACTTGCAAGGGGTTACAATGACACACGCCCCCCCACCAACCTTGTCACCTCTCTGTAGTCTGTCCCGGGGCTCAGTTGCCTTGGAAATGTTGTCTCTCGCCCTCTATTTTTAGGTCAGTGACGTTGGGGCTCTGGGTGTTATTCTGCCTCCTGGGGTTTTTTGAGCTGTTTCCCTCCTCTGACCCAGACTGAACTGAAATCCTGACAAACAAGGAGCCGTTGATTCAGGAAACGGGCATTTCAAATCAGACACTATCCACACAGTCGCGTAAAGATCCTAATTCATGGAATGCGGACAACATGAATACAAATTGTGGGATATTTTTTGCCGTCAGGGCAGATGAGATTGGTTTTTTTAAGATAATTGTCACAGAGCAGCTGTAACATTTCTCTTCTAAATCGACCACATAGTGAATTCTGTGATAACTCGAATTAGCTTCTTACGGTCACGTTGAAGCATTTGCACAACTCTTTTTTTTTTTTTCTTGTTGAATCTCTGATGAATTCATAGATGATTATCTGGGACTAATTCTTCTTGTGAAGTATAAGCCAGATATTTGTGGACAGGTTTTTGTAGCATAATCGCTGTTTTGCCCTCCGTCGTCATTGTTTGTCTCGTGTGTCCTTCAGCTGAGCAACAGTGAGAGCACCCAGCAGCAGATGAGCTTCCTGAACAAGCAGCTGCTGCTCCTCGGGGAGGCACATAAGCTGTCCATGCAGGAGTTACACCACAGCGGCGGCGATAATACAAAGGTACAGTGCAAGTGTGTGTGAGTCAGATTCAGTGAAATGAAAAAAGGGGACACTAATTGGGTTTGTTGGACATCAAGTCAAAACGACTGAAGCGGTTTTACCTCAGGCAGGAAGCTAGCTTTATCTGAGCTATGAGGATACACTCACATACTCAGAGGTTTGTGTTCATTTCTCATGAATAAAAAGATCAGTTATTGTCAGTGAATTGTGTGTTTTGGCAGGTTCAGGAGTTTTAAAATTGGAGACTCAGTTGATGCTGCTTTTTCTTTTAATTTAATCACCCCTCTGTATTTTTGAATGTATCGTATCCCTGATACAGTGGAGTTTGGCGTAGACTGTAGAAAACTGTAAGTGAACATGATAAAGGTCCAAGATTTATTCACTATAGAGTCACAATAAAAGTCCCCATAAAGTTCCTCATTCATCTTTTATCATCTCGTATTTATCTTCTTCCCTCCTGCTCCTCATGCTGCTGTTGACGACGACCCGTCGCCCAGGAGGCCCAGATGCTGCAGGCATCTTACCGGAAAGAGGTGGAGATGCTGAGGCAGAGTTTGCTGGTTCAGGGTCAGAAGCTGGAGGCGGCGCAACAGAGAGTCGGCGAGCTGGAGACGCACCTCTCCAAGAAGGAACACCTCATCGCCGAGCAGAAGAAGTTCCTCGAGGATGTGAAATGTCAAGCAAAGTGAGTTTGGGTCCAGGAGGCATCTGTTGTCTAATTAGATCCAACATGACATAATTGTGTTTGTATTTAAAGAGGCAGATACAAACCTCCTGTGTAAACATGCTGGAAATCATCTGTCACCTTCTTCCCGCTGCTTCATTTTAACTGCTTCTGCTTCCCTCTCCTCCTCTCCTCCTCTCCTCTCCTCCTCTCCTCGACCCGGCCTCGTCTCTCTGTGTTCAGGGCGGAGCTGCAGGCCTCAGACAGCAGACATCAGGCTCAGAGGAGAATCACTCAGCTGCTGCAGACCGAACTCCTGCAGCTCTACAGCCGAGTGGAGATGGAAGCTCCAGCCAGTACTGCTGCCAGCTCGCCACCAGGGGGCAGAGCTGACCCACACACTCTTGTTGACACCAGGTCAGACTCAGACCAAACAGCCACACAATCACAGGAACATGCACAACACATTTTTATTAATGCGGCCACTGAACATATGAACCACTATTGGCTGAATATAGAATGAATGAATATAAAATGTATGTTGTCATTAATGTACATGTCTGAAACTAAGAATCGTTACAATCGTCTATTATACAGATATATTTATTATATCTGCATCTTGCACTGTCATGTTTCTACAGCAGCAGATTCTAACATACATGCATCGACATCAACATGTTGTTTTTCGACGTCATGACTTGTGACTGTTCATCACACTACAGCTCTGAACATATTAACAGAACAATTATCTGTCTTAACACGTGGATATTTCCCGCTCCACAGTGTCCTGGTGCCAGATGGACCAACTAAAAGTCACACAAACGAGGAGGCGGCCAGTAAAACACTGCACGACTCCCCTCGGGGCAACGGCAGCACTTTATCGCCAGGGCAACCAAAGGCGAACAACTCTTCCAAGTCATCAGCCAACTCCATCAATGGCAGCCAGGACCTGGCCCCGCCCCTGCTGGTGGAGCCCTTGCTGTCCTGTCCTCACGTCAACACGCTTGCACCCCTGCCCCCCGCCGACGCGCCTCTCACTGTGGGCTCCTACCCCAGTGCCAAGAGCTTCCTGGGCATGAGGGCGCGCGAGCTGTTCCGCAACAAGAGCGAGAGCCAGTGCGACGAGGAGCAGCCGCCGCCTCCGCGCCTTGCGGGCCTTGCCCACGGTCTGAAGACTGAGCTGTGTGTGGAGCCACCCTGCCCAGATTATATTGCCCCTGTCAATCCCGCACCCTCCCCCATTCCAACTCCTCCGCCAATGCCAGCTCCTGCCACCCCGCTCACAGTGCCCACCGTGCCCACCAAGCAGCCCCCATCTGAGCCCAAGCAGCGGGCCTCCAGCCAGGAAAGCCCCCGCAGGAAGGCAGGGGCCGGCCCCGGTGTAGGGCGGGTTCAGGCAGGGTCAGGGCGCCCCCGGCAACAGCATCTAAAGATCATGGACTACAATGAAACACATCACGAGCACAGTTAAGAGACATAGAACTGAGCCGGGATGGAAAGCGGATAAGGACGGACTTAAGTTTGAAAATGGAGAAGAGCTACAAAATCAGCAAGAGTAACACGTCTGCTACTCTCCACAATTCAGTGTTATTTGATCCATTCCTCTGAGTGGACAGCAGGATTCCCCCACCGTTTCTTTTTCTTTTTATTTATACTGATTCATTCCCCTGAAGAATGTTTGCGGAGGAGACAGGAATACTGAGTTGCAATGTTACCAGTGAGGATGCTAAACTTATGAGTTTGATCATGAGACAAAGACGAACACGACGTGACACTAAGTCTGAGATTAACAATCAACCAAATTACAAACTTTTCCATATTGGCTCTAGTTGTGTCGATATGTCCATATTTTGAGAAATCTGCGTCAGTGTTCTCCCTTCGCCCCGAAACGATGGAGGTGAAACACACTTAGTTTTCTCTCGACAGTGAAACATTTAATTTGTGGCACTCTGCAGCAGTTTGTCTCGAAACAGCGTGCGTCCTAGTTACTTTGGATAATCCTCCGACCTCAGAACAGCATCCACTGTGGAAACACGTAAAACTGAAGAAATAGTTCACGTTGAGTTCTGTGAATTATCCAGACTAACGGGGACTGTTTTCAGAAACACACTTTGCTGTCATCATTTTGGGGATTTTTTTTTGTCAATGCTGTGAGGATGACAAACATAGTTCCACTCGCCTTTTGTTGTTATATTTATCGGATGCGGAACCCTCGGAGACGGTTTCTAAAAAAAAATTGGCAAATAAAACCGAAATCATCTGCTGTCGTCAATAAAACTGTAAGATTTTCAAAGTACAAACTTCGACTCAGACATGAAACATTGTTAGGTTTTCCCCGGTCATCATGTTTGGCGTTCTTTGGATTGACGACTGAAATATTTGTCTTGATTTGTGTTACAGCGGAGCGATGGAAGCAATCGGTGCGTGGAGGTGTGCGTGTGTGTGTGTGTGTGTGTGTG